GCCCTAGAAAATGGTTGCTTGCTGGACACAACAGGAGTGTTCTAACTATAAAGATTGTCTTAGCAGCTGATAAAAACTCATATTTTTGTTGAAAAAGACATGAAAGACATTTCCTGTTATCTTTTCTTTCGTTTTTTTCTTTTGTTCGTTTTGAAGGTAGACCACATTTCTCCATAAAACTACTTCCAATTCTATCCCAACTTCTGTAACGTGTTGCTCCGTGACAGTTTGGAGCTTTGGATTCGTAAACTGTTGCTCTAAGTCTCTTAGCTTTCTCATTATTCTGAATAGAATTATTCTGATGGAAGACGAAAACTCGCGTAGCTCAGTGACATACATACATCTCATAATGTTGTAGAAAGTGAGGTGACCGGCCAACATAGCAAACATTTTTCTCTAAACAGAGAGCGAAGGACACGAACATTTATCATTTACAATTTATTCATTCAGTAATGGCAGTAATCCGTTAATATCATGAACTATGTTATCGTGTTTCTTGTCATTTTGAAATAAATTGTAGTTTCTAAGCGCGATATCTGAAAGCATACTTCACCCCAGTCAGTCTACAAAGTTCCCCTTCACAAAGACATTTCACTCAAACTGTCTACGTTCTCGGAAAGAAAGGATACATTTCTCCCAAATAGTTTACATCACGGGGAAAAATAGAATTGTCGCTTTTCTTTCACTCAAGTTTTATTTAGTATCTCCAAACTCCAGCTTTATTCGGGTGTGACGAGAAATGGATGGCAGTGCAGAAACAGAAAATTAAGAGAGTCATAAGCAATGTCTGCTTGGCAGATAAGTCTTTGGTAGAATCCATACTGGGTCACAGAATACAGTGCCGAGTTCCTAAAGAACCACTGGACCTAATTCCAGCATACCTGAAAATGGCTTAATCTTACCGAATATTAGAGTCAGTAATTTATTAGAACCTAACAACCATGGTCTAGAAATTATACATGTACTTGATTCAGATAACTACAGGAGTTCAAACCGAAAATTGATAAGAAGTCCGCTGACCACGGCTTCTCACTAGAACTCCAAGAAACTCATCTTGAAGCCAGGTACTAGTGAGCACATGACAATTATCAGTGTAGGGTTGTAGAGATTGTTGAGTATAGAGGTTAAGCGTTCGCCCACGAGACTGAAGGCAATGGGTTCGAGTTCCAAATGAGGGATCGTGGACGCAAATTGCTGAGGAGTATCGTACTAGAACAAATCGACCGTTCAGTGCATCCAGGTTTTCAATGGTGGTCTAACATTCGTCTATTGAAACTCAAAATCGATCTGTCCAGAATATATCAGGCAAAACTTCATGAACCAGTTTTGTTAAAAACATATTTTAGATGAATAGCATAGATTCGATTACTGATATATTCATTAATTTCAGTTTTCTAATTACTTCCCTTTCATTTAAAAAAGTGTCAGAATATGACATGATAATAAATTATGTATTTCCGGGAAAAATTTCATGATACATAAATAATAATAATATATATTTCTGCATGCGCGGGTACACGCCATTTTTACAGGCATGATCTATACATTACAACATTTGTTGGTTCACAAAATGCTTCGCAATTCATTGAGTTTATAGTTGATATAAAGTATACCCGTAGAGCTCTTGCTGTAAACTGTGACTTTGAGGGGACCTTTCACGTGAAAGGAAATCTAATCTTATTATTATATTGATTATGAACATAAAAATACTGTGGTGTGTGCTACTTACATCTACATAAGTAGTATATGATGTTAGTCGTAAACAGAATGTCTGGCAGGGGAGAGACAAGAGGATCGAACAGTAACGAATAGAAACAGAATGCAATTTGTATAAAAATGCGACAACAATGAAGTCTGAGTCATTTTGAGACAAGTGATGGTCATTTTGCAAATTAAGCATTTACTATATGAATGTTAGATTTAGTTACCAAGTCTTGTAAGTTTCTGTCATGTACATTCGATTGTTCCCACCCGTGATATTGTTCACAACAACACTATGGATGCTTTATCGACATCAAATATTTATTATTCTAAATCTACTCCAACAATAGCAATTTATATTTCACTAGCTAAAAATGAATTACGACATGACTGGTCTCGTATTTGATCTTTGAAACATCGAAACGTATGTTCATGGTTAATTACTCCTGAATATTTAGTCTGTAGTGTTAGTCATTAGTTTTAGCCCATAATATATCATATCCTAGTTTTCGGACATTTCATTCTACTTGAGTCATATGTTGACCTTGTCAATTATTCGCTTATTAGCCTTGACTGTTTTTAGATGAGCGTATATGTGTGTACACTTCATGTCCCATGACTCATCACATGTCTGTAGTTTATTTTGTCTGCCTATAAATATTGAGTAATGCCTGACTTGAAATGGAGTTGGCTTCCCAACCATCTTCCCTGCGCGAAATTTTGCTCTGTTCTATTACATTCACTTTACATACAAAATATATGTATTCAAAGGCCATTCTCGTTAATTGACTTATCTAAATTCCGTTATTGACTAACGTGATTTAAGTTGACGATGATATACGAGAAAAGGCGATAGCAAACATCCATACGATCTAATTGGAGTCAGATCCCCGGGCCACTAAAAGTCAACAGTTGTAGAAGCACTCTATTTTGATCAAAGAAACACCTCATAGCAACTCCCGTGCAATTGAGTTTGTTCACATTTAATTTGGCTAAGCTCTTTTGTTAACTTATTTAGCGGGCAGAGTCTTCCGTACTATAACAACTTATCTATATCATTGTACCTTTATTATTGTTGTGCTTGTATGAAATATGTATGCTCGAACATTGATTATATATATAATCCTACACACTCACGACTCGCTAACTTACTCATTCGCCTTTCTGCTTTGTGGTCTGAGTTATCTGTTAATAAAATTGTAGTTACTACTTCTCTTCGCCTTCTGATTTCAAACACCGTTAAGGATTATATGATTACGGTTATGAAGGTGATTGGTTAACGAAGCACAGCCACTACAACCTCAATCATTGTTTGACTGTTGATTAACGTCTTTAGTACATCCAGATTCTAGAGCAATAGCTTAAAAAGCTTATATGTGTAGTTGGTATTCACAGTATACATCTGACTACTATAGTTGCATAATATTGCTAACTGGTAACTGTTTTTTCTTTAATACAATGGATGAAAATAGTCATCCGAAAAACAACTGAAACTTCTACAATATTATAGTTTGTGATAATAGATAAACTAGTTCAACTGATCATTCATAAGTTTATCTTAAGGAGAGTATATCTGTAGTGAGCGTGGACTTGGTGGGGACAATAGAATTAATATTTAGTTAACAATTAAAGTGTCTTTGTAAATTATGAAAACCATACAATAAATACTTCATTTGCACATCTTCCATCAATTGTTACTCACATTCTTCATGATTCTTCCAATTCTGATTTTATTCCAATTCCTTTTTGTTCCCTATTCGAATTTTTTTCATTTCAATCTTTTCAATCCTTTTTTAGACAGACATTCCACCTCTGAATGACGTTACATACCACTTATATCTGACTACATAAGTAGTATAAATCACATATTTATGGACTGTATCTGATTAATCGTCAATTAACTGTCAAATAACACACAGAGTCGAAACATCAGTTCAGTACTTAATGGCTTTTAATATTAATGTTACTATATTATACTAGGAAAACATATTCATTCACATTTCAGAGTGAAATGTTGACACTATTTCAAACCAAATCTTTTATAATGTAATAGTAATATCGGATTTGGTGTATATTTCCATGAAGAAAATAAATATACATAAGCTGGTAATTGAATACCCAGATTTGTAGTTCTATTATTATGATTGTATCATATTACTAATAATGAAATAAAGATACTTTCAAATAGGATTAATAGTAAAACATCGGATTTAGGATGTATGTTATTAATAATACATTACATAACATCAAATGGTTAACTTATATTAACCACCCCTCTATTTTTATTTTTGTTCATTGGATCCGATAACATGAAGCTATAAAGTCAGTAAAAATGAAATGAAATAATTTAATGTGGGAATCTTTTCTTTGAAAAGTATCATTTTCTGAAGTCATATAATCTTCTTGATAGAAACTCAAAAACAGATTAGTCTCTTGAAAACTATATTTAAAGACCTCATTAGATTGTAGCTTGATATATCTAACCATCTTCATTGGTAATATCTAGAATATTCTCTGTATTATTCATTGTAAGTTATAGTAATTAACTTCATGTTTACTTACAATATAAGCTGTGATTTAACTAGATATTTCTAAGTTGACCAAATTGACTCCTCCGGCAGCTACTGCCAGTTCCAAGCCCGGATAAAGGAGGAGGGTTGGACATGGGGTTATCGAACCCGTCCCGTAAGAAACCAACTCGCTAAAAAACACTAACCAGAAAAAAAATTCAATCTGTCATCTTTATCATTCATTGAAGTAAGCTATAATTTATTAGACAACTTTAAATAATAATAGAGTCCTCTATTAATTCAGGATTGTGTCTGGTACAGGAAAATAGGAAATATAGTATTTTTCATTCAGGACTTTTCAACGAGTTTAACATGTATTTCAGTGTTGATATTTACGATGGGACTCGAACTCAGTGTCATCCTTTTCAAACATAAACAAGGATTATTATAAGTATCAACATTGAAATGGAGGTGTATTTAATTCACATAGTAAACATGCAACGAAAAGCGCTTCCGGTATTTTACTGACACTTATTACCTAACTTTAATTAAACCTTTAGTTAGATGATGTTGATGTTAAGGCGGGTCACTAAGGATGTTCATATGTCAATGGAAACTAATCACTTACGAACCTAAACATATGGAGCAGTCCTATGTTTTGTATTCCCAATCATAAAAATGAACATTGAAATCACAACTGCGAATTCAATTTTTAGTGAAATATTTCAGTAATAATTATCATCTCCTTTGTGATTATTCATATGTAGAACTTTGGAGCAATTTGGAAGAATGTCCTCCGATTTATCAAAGAAATCAACAATGAGACTGTCATTCAAAAAAGTTTGCTTAAATGGTCCAACATCACAGTCAAATAAACTGTGTGAAGAATCAATTATGGAGTTTCAAAAATATTGTACAACGAATAGTGATAATACTGAGAAGAAACGATTAAACTTACGTCTAAGACGTGGACATACAACTTTACTTAGCCTTATGGGATCAGAGTTAAGCGATATATCAAAATCTGATCAAGTAAATGAATCACTGTATGACAATAATCATTCACGTCATTTTACTCGATCAAACAAAATATCTACAAATGCATTCATTAATGAATACATCCCAGATGTTTTACCACTAACGACAGTAAATCCTTCAAAGTAAGTTATGTATGTCACAGATTTTTTAACTGTTTTAAGGATTTTGTTGATGTAATCTCAATTGATTGATCACTGGGTGGTGATCAATGTCATGCTTGTCTAGTCCTTATTAGTGAAAATCGAATGCTGTCGATCGTGTTACAATGTGGCCACCAGTCTAGGTGACTCGACACTGCGGGCACTATGTATTGAGATTTAGATGGTGGTTGGAGGTAGTCAACAGGAAACCCTTTGTCTACTCCTTAAACTATGAGATTAAAATTACTTCATACCTTCCTTTTTACGAGTTAACTCTTTCTTTCTGTTTTATTACATCCTTATATGTAATCTTTCTTTTATTACCGTTGAAGTAACTACCTCTATAAATTCGGTGTTCATCCTGTTGGGCTAATGAAGTATGACAACTTCGACCGATGCTTATATGTACCTGGTCCTACGTTGCAGCTGACTGAATGACTACATTGAAACACATTTATGATAATCAAGTTCTATACATATATGATGTCAAATTACCCAGTTTGCATGATTTATTAAGTCGAATAAATATTTCAATCATCATAGGTTTACAAGCAACAGTTGTTTATCTGATAATCAACAATTCTATTATTGAAACTAGTTTAAATGACCTTCATGGAACTCCGTCATAATCATCAATATGTGGTTACTAGTTATTAATTTAGAGAGTTAATTACTTCTATGAATTTGGGGTATTCATCTTATTGTACTAATGAAGTATGGCAACTTCGACAGATGCATATATGTGCCTGGTCCTACATTGTAGCCGACTGACTGACTGATTGACTAACTGAGAAGTGATTTGTAATATCAAAACAAACTTTATTAATCAATATTATCGATTGCTGTATTTTATTTTAATCAATAAAATCATTATCATTTTATTTTATACTTAATTAATGATAGAATTTTATTTACTATTCTAATTATTAAGGTATGTAGTGAAACAGGAGGCTATTTATTGGAATCATGTGTTGTCTCAACAAATTTCCATGGAATTAATGAATAAATTAAATGATGATAAAAATGTGGTAAGAGTATAATCATTGAAGAAAGTTACCTATTGAGATGGTGAAGATTTGTTGCTCAGGTGGATGATTTTGATGGACTTTTGTTCTCTGAGCTGGAGGGTTTAGGAGACACAACCAAAACAAAGAAGTAAACATTGACAAATTTAAGGTCAATAAGAACCAACCAACGGCAAGGTGTACAGAACAAGCTGTGAAACACATACGGAGAAATTCGAACACTTCACTTTTATCTGAAGTTTGTGCTGACGATGTCGTTAAGAAGAACGATCAAACCATCCAGCTCAGAGAACAAAACTCCATCAAAAGTTACCTATTGTTTTTTCATTCATTCATTGTTTTATTGTGATGTGATTAATATGTTTGATATGCTTGAATATCATCACGAGTTCACCTTACTCAGTAAACGGAACGAAAGTCAGAGATACATTGACACGATAGACTATTCTTATATGTTGTCCCCGGCTCTGCTAACTAGATCAAGAAGTCTTGATGAGGCGTACAGAATGTATTCTACAAGCACCCAGGAAATACAATGTCACTAAACGCACGAATCAAGCTTATTTATACAATGGTAGAAACCCCCTTAGGAGAACGACAAAATAGCGTAATAAAAAATGTCCGTCAACCAATGACAGTCAATGATTTCCGAGTGGGAAATGTAAGCTATAGTCTAACTAGGCATCTGTCGGTGTGAAAAAAACATGAAATTCAAATTTCCAGAATAAAATCACAAAATTATGACTTTTACCAAATGAGTTCTGGGTATTTAGCGTTCCCAACAGTGTTGTATTCGTACTTTTTTATTGTCAACTAATTCATCAACATGTGGTAGTTCTTAATAGTTCTTTTTGTTAAGAAAAACAATTACCAACTAAGCATTGGTCTTATTTAAATTCAATATAGTCAATTGTACATAAACAAAGTAACTAGTATAAATAAATAATCTATTTGTAGAGTAGAAAAATTAGATTTTCTGACGTTTCGTGACTTAGTGTAAGTCACTTCTTCAGAGAATTAAATAACGAAGTTTCAACAGTCTACCAAATGCTCAATTTATTCGAAATTATCAAGTCAAACCTTGGTAATGATACTTAAAAAGTAACTAGTACCTTTAACATTTGAAGGTGTTACATCTTTGATAAATTGAAGAGAATGTTTTTTTTAAAAAAAACATGTTCAATAGTCCTTAATTTTCAATTTTTTTTTGTTATCAATCTTTCATGAAATTCAACTTCAATTAGTATTAACAAACCTACTAACTAAGCAATAATCGTATGTAAACTAGTGAATGGTTTCGAGATGAAGACAACTAGTGTAGTCGCAGAAAGCTCTCCATCAGTAGGCCTCAACGTACACAAGGGAAAAAATAACATCTTCAAATACAACCCGGAGAACACCAATTCAATCACACTTGATGGAGAAACTCTGGATGATATGGAATCTTTCACACACCTAATGATCAGCTGCATCATAGATGAAGAAAGGAAGATAGGATGCAGATGTAAAGGAGAGGATCGACAAAGGAAGGACCGCTTCCTACAACTGAACGAACGACAACTGTCTATCAATCAATGTCAAAGTCACAATCTTCTATGTGAACTTCAAGACAGTCGATTCTACTGTATGGAGCTGAAACTTTCACAACTACCACAACTATCACGAAAAAGGTACAATTATTCATAAACGGTTGTCCATGCGAGGTACCAAACAGCAAAATGTCAATCAATCGTCTCAAACTTGACTGTTCCTTCATTTCCACACTAATCATTCTTTGTCCTCGTTCTATTTCTTCTTTGATCTTCTTAACTTTCTGCTTCCAACTGTTTCACATTCTATTGATAAATACATACTACTTACTATCGATGAGCATCAGTAGCATATACCACAATCTTAGTTTCAGACTATAATTTGTTTGAGATTAATCCATTGAATTATCAATATCACTAACTGTGTTAAGATTCAGTCATTTAACAATGAAATTCTCTCTCTTTATTTATAATCATTTTTAAATATGAATTATTTCTTTATAATGATGTTATCATAGGTAATTCAAATATTCTATTTCTATATTTTATTTATTTTAGGGATAATTTTGTAAGAACCCAATCAACGTACTCAAGGTTATCATTGTCAAACATTTTATGAACCAATCCACTATATATTACTTACTTACGCCTGCTACTCCTCGTGAAGGAGCATAGGCCGCTCACCAGGATTCTCCATCCAACCCTGTCCTGGGAAATCCTTTCCAGCTCCTTCCAGTTCTTATTCATCCTTTTCATATCTGCTTCTATTTCCCAATTCATTATATATATATATGAATGTAATGATATAAACAATATTGTAAAAGATTTGCCAACACAATTCAACCTATTATTATTATTATTATTATTATTATTATTATTATTATTATTATTATTATTATTATTGCATAAATACATTTGTAAGCATATTATTAATGATAGTAGTAATGGTCTATTTCATTCATGATGTAATAATTCTGTAGTCAATACTTTACCATAGATGATTATATAATATGTGAAACTTTAAAGAAATCTTAACCCAAAACAATATGGAATACAATTGTCAATTTGATTGTAATGATATTCATGGAAATAATTGAGATTGAGAAAGATGATTAAATAATGATTCGATGAAATGAAAAAGAGGAATAAGAGGAAGAAGAAGAGGAATAAGAAGAAGAAAAAGAAAAAGAAGAAAAAAAGAAAGCATCAAACTTACATATATCTAACTAATGTCATAATATAGAACTTGACAATCAAATCATTCATAATTCTAATGAACAAAAGTGTAAACAATAGAAATAAGAACTGAATAGAGATTCCTATGCATAAATAATTAGTATATACATTAATCTTATAGCATATAAACTTGATTATTAAGACAATTATGTAAGGAATCAAGTTGATAGAATAGTTTTGTAATTAAATTGTTGATCATTTTATTGTTTAACTAGAATCTGTTTATCTATTCGCATAACTGCTTTCGTTGATATTGTAGTGTCGGTTGACATGTTAAGCTCATATATCTTATTCTGGCATTTGGACAGTCCAATCTATTCATTCTACTTGAGCCACATTTCGACCTTGTCAATTATTCACTTATCAGTCTTCACTGTTTTTATATGAGCGCATATTTGTGTGCACATTTCATATTCCCATTCATCATATGTCTGTAACTTATTTTTGTGTAACTATAAATAGTGATTAATGTTTAGCCAAATGGAGTTGGATTACCCATCATCTCCGTTGCGCGTCATTTTGCTTCTCTCTATTCCATTCGCTTTATATACAAAATATATGCATTGAAAAGTCAATTCTCCTTATTTGACGTATTTGATTCCGTTATTGACTAACACTATTGAAGTCGATGATTATATACAAGGATATGTGACATATACATTTCGACAGCAATCATTCAAACGATCTACTTGGAGTCAGATCTTGGGCCACTAAAATGGTGAGCCCTTACGACAACATCATCCGATCTAAATGACGATAAAATAAAGGGCCCCACTAAAATATTGTTATTTATGTTAATCAGTTTTTAGCTTATTTACTGTTGTCTAGGAATACTTATCTCCGTCAGTTCTTTGATAAAGTTTGATCAAGTGAGTACTGTGTCAAATGGAAGATCCCAAATGATGTAACTCACTGTTCTATATATATACCGATATCAATAAAATGTTGCTTTGAATGTTTTCGTTTGTGGAATTATAAATAGAATGTATATTGTTATAATGTTTTGATGGTTACTCAATGTTATTTGTAAGGCGTCTCTATATTTTCACAGATTCTACTATCAATATTCCTTAATGAACATTTGAGATGGCGGAGAAGATTTAAAGCTCAGGTGAATGATTTTGATGGAGTTTTATTCTCTGAGCTAAATATTTTAGTCGTGAAGAACGATGAAAACTACACAACTAAACCATCTAGCTCAGAGAAAAAAACTCCATCAAAAACTGAATACATTGCTCATCAAGTGGCGAACTGTTCTCTACTATATTATCTGCTACTGTAATAAACTTGCAAATAGATTTTGTATTCATTAATGACGAGACTATAATTTATGGACGAACCAACTGAATTTACGATAACATATCTTAGGTTTTGGCGAGACATCCATTCACCCATTTGACTAAACAGAGTTTTGGCCTTTTAACCTGATGTCAGTTTGTGATGAAAATCCTAAATCTAATTCTTGACCCTAACCATCAACTTTTAAATCATAATCCTTCTCCTTCAAAATGCTTTTCAACCCTTATTTATCCCTAGTAGGTAGGTAGACATTCTCAAGGTCATTTTACTGTCTCTCAAATTGTCATCCATAAATTATAGTCTCACCTCATTAATTTACTCTATGAGCTTGCTTGCCAGTAAAAATTCATTATATTCTTGTTTTAAAAGGTAACAACAACAACAACAACATGGGAACAACTTTAATTAGTGATTTTAAGGTGTTAATTCAAAGCTTCTGATTTATTGTGAGTTTATTTGTGCTTAAGCTCGATATGATAATCGTTATTGTTGGATACCATTCACTACATACGTTATCTATGAAACTGAATTGTCCGTTGTAATGCTACTTAGTCGTCTTATATTTGATTGTTTAGCTTTGGTTAAATATTGTCTTAAATTACCGAGCGACAAATGTTGTGCTTTTTTGGGAGTGATATGATCACCAATCAGAATACGACTTATACAGTCCTAACACTGTGCCAAACCAATGACGTGTTGACAAGAACCAGTAGACTAGAATCCATATTAGTCCTTCTCGTTTAGTTCTGCATGTTGAATCAAGAACAGAAATATCTTCTTCCACTATATGCATCATATATTTCGGACATACTTGGTTTATATGCAAACAAACCAGACTGCATCACACTATAAAATAGAAAATAACAATTGAACAGGATCAAGCTAAAAGGTGACCGTGAGAGACTGGAAGTTATATATTGGGAATATCTTAAGAATAGTAAATCGTATAATAATAGTCAATAGATCAAGTAAAAGCTTATGATAAGAGGAATATAAATATATAAAAACTAGTTACTTAACAGTTACGCAATAAGAATATACATAATGACAGTCTATGAATAATTCTTGGAAGTTACCCACAGTTTAATCTTCTTCGGATATGACAATAAGAAATCTAATCCTGTCTGTATATTATGAAATTAAAATACTTTTGATTTTAGGAGTTTTCATGCTTTCTATTCTATTGTTTTCATTTAATTATGCGGTAATAGCCTCTTCTAAAGAATTCTTGTTCATTGCTCTCGTCTTAAAGGTAATGCAAAATAATAAGGTGAAATAGGACATTCCGTGCTTCAACTATTTTGCTTAAGACAAATGGTCGACCTATTTTAATTGAAAAAGTCTGATTCCGAGGAAAGGGCTATTGACAACTTTAGGACATTGAAGATTTATTACTTAATTTTCTTGGCACTTATTTTATAGTTCAACTGCACTACGAAAATATTGTCAAAAATATTGCACAATAGTGTATTTCAGCAGTAAATATGTGAACCATATAAATCCTGAGGATTATTGGATAGCTAATATTCAAGTGGTCATAACTTTGAGCTGATATAAAAACGATTATCAAAGAAAACCGGAATATTAGGCAGAGATGAATGAGGTATAAAAGGGGAATCTAGGATGCGCGTTTCATTCGATTTCGGACTCGTCAGCTGAAAACGCGTGACCTGGATTCCACTGCTAGTTACCATTCATCTGTAGTTATAATGGTAAAGACTTAAAGTAATATTGAGGCAAGCACCACAGGATGTACACACACTAAAAGAAATATATCATTTGCAGTTCGGAAGTCTCGAACAACCAATGAAACCGAATTTACTTCCAAATTCACCATCGATTAAATATAACAAACATTAAGAATTCAATTGCACAAATTTTATTTAATCTAATAGGTATAACTGATTTCTATCGATAACTGCTTCAGTGTGTAGGAAGTTGAATCAATTATTCATTTTGATGATCATAAAAACATCGATATTTTCGACATAAAGTACATCATATTAATGGTAAACATAAGATAGCTTTTTGTGTTCCCCTAATTTGACTCTGATTTGGATAGACGTATGAATATACTATGTACAGAAATCTTCCTTTTAACTTCGTCTATTACCTAGGTGGTAGTAAGAAATCATACACGAGTCACATTGGAGGAATTTATTTTATGCATTAGTTTATCTAAACAGATATTCAAAATAAACGGTTTGAAATCGAAGCGAAGATGGGGAGTGAGTCGTCTTATCTTGACAAAGCGTGATTCAATATTTATAGTCAAACAAAAATAAGCTGCAGACATGGGATGATTAGGATAAGCAATAAACGCACAGCAGTCGTTCGTCTATAACGTAGGACCAGGCACATATATGCATCGGTCCAAGTTGCCATACTTCATTAGTACAATAAGATGAACACCGAATTCAAAGTAGTTACTTCAAAGGTAGTAAAAGAAAGATTACATATAGGAATGTAATAATACAGGGAGAAAGAGCTAACTCGTAAAAAGGAAAGTATAAAGTAACTTTAATCTCACAGTTTAAAGGTAGACAAAGAATATGTACATCGATGCCATTGTGATCGATTCTGAATCATGTCACACAGTCTGCAAACATTAGTTACAATAGTCACGCGAATCTGAACTAAGTAGTCTGCATCTGCCAACATGTCTAAGACTAAAAGTCAGTAACTTCAAGTATGAGTTAATTGAAGCGAAACCATCATGGAAAACGTGGAAGTACTGGACGATCGTTTCGTCCTAGTGTGGGACTGATCATCAGTGCACATCCACGATACCACCCCATTGGAATTCGATCAATAACTTCCCAGTAAAAGACATTTTTAGTAAGCAAACCCCCTTTAATAGAACATTTTATTGAATGGATTCATCAAGAAAAATAATCCTGATCTCAATTTGGTCATTTAATTTAATTCAGATTTGAACTCACTATGTGTTAATGATAGTTTACTCATTGGGAAAGTATTATTATATATTTCACCACTAAGACCTAATATATCAAAATTCTTCTAAAGAGTAGATTTTCAAGGTCCTCAATTGAGTTTATATGTAGAATTACGAGTAAATACGTTGGCTCCAGGTTGAAAGGCAACTGCCATACAAATTTATTAACTTTCAATATAAAATATATAACGAAAGTTTCCTCAGAATAAGCAAAATAATAATTAGCGCTTCACATCTTCACATCTCTTGAAAAATCAAATTAGTTAATAACGAAATCGGCGAGACGATAATTTATGGACGAACGAAATGGGTTTACAACAGCAGGTTTTAGATTTTGGCGAGAAATTCATTCATCCATTTTGCTTAATAGAGTCTTGACATTATAGCTGATATCAGTTCGTGATGAAAAACCCTAAATCTAATTCCTAACCGTAACCATCAACTGTAAATCATAATTCTAGTTCCTCGCACTGCTTTATAACCCTAATTTGATCCTACTTATTAGGTGAACACTCTCAAGGTCACTTTAGCACCGCTCAAAGGTCGTCCATATATTATAGTCTCATCAAAAAATCAATAAAATTTTAGCCATTAGGTAACAGTTTCGAATCCGTTAAATTTATAACGATTTAAGTAGAACAGTATTATCACTTTTACCTTCGCTTCTATCTGAAGTTTATTTTATGATGTCTTTTAGAAGAACAATGAAAAAGCTTCACGATTACACTATCCAACTCATAGAACAAAACTTTATCTAAGTCATCCACTTCAGATACAAACCTTCTCCACCATCGCATTATCACTAACCTTCATATAGTATAACACAAAAGATGATTACACTCTCCTATACTTGGAAAGTAAATTACGTACCCAGAATAACTAAAACAAAATAATTTACGTAGAATGTTTAAGATCACATATATAGTATGCAGTTGACTGACTAAATGATTTACATTTTTTTATCAATTAATGTATTCATTAATAATCACAGTACAAATGAAACAATCACAATTACAATATAAGTAGTATAGAAGGAAATCGGTTAAAAATAAAATGTCAATGATAAGTAGTCGATAAAATAAATAAATAAATAATCAATTTTCAATTTCATTTTGAAAAATTGTTTTACATCAGTTTGAGTAAAATTATATAATAATAATAATAATAATAATAATAATAATAATAATAATAATAATAATAATAATAATATCACAATATATATGTAGTTTTATAATGACATCTACTAATTTCAGAAATAAGTAGTATAAAAGTTTAAACTAAAATTGAAGATTATCATATTTTAAGTGAGTACAAATCAAACTATTTTTTTTTTTTGTTAATAAGTCATTCATGACCATTATGATCCGATTTATATTGATTAAGGAAGAGACATATAGAGAGAGAGAAAAAATACTAAGGATTATTTAAGAAGAAATTACTGAAGAGAATAACGAACTTTCGTAGATAATATTATGTCATTATTGTTTATAGGAAATGCATTTTTATTTTATTTTATAATTTGTTTAATCAATATTGACATTATATAGTAGATGATCATGATGTAGGTGGTTTTGGTTTAGCAAAACCCAAATTACTTTGATTAAATACTACACTACCTAAATTACCATAACTTTCAATGACAATTTCACCATTGGTAAACTATGAAGAGAAAAGAATGAAGTAAAAATTAATTGAAATAAAGTTAATTTGTGCAAATATATTTCATGAGAAAAAAGGGATTTTGTGATGACTATGGTAATTCAATAGATGAATTCGTGAGTCAATTAAAGCTAGACCACTATGAGTTCGAAGGATCATACTGGGATGAAACGGCCGTTCAGTGCTTGCAGGTTTTCCATGGTGGTCTAGCTTCAATTGACTAATGATTTCAACTATTGAAGTTATTAAAATCTCCACAAAAGCCCTCCTGATAATAATCATCTGCTCACTAGTGACTGACTTCAAGAGACATTTCCTGGAGTTCTAGTGAGAAGCCGTGACCAGTGGACTTCAACCGGGTCTGTTGTGAGACAGCAAATCACTAATGACAATGGTGGATGTGTCGCTCAATTTCGTGGATTAGTTGAAGTTAGAGATTAACACCAGTGGATACCTGCTCAGTGGTCTAGAGGTTAAACGTTCGCGTGCGAGACTAATAGGTCCTGGGTTCGAATCTCGCGGGGTGGAGCGGGACCGTGGATGCGCACTCCTGAGGAGTCTCATACTAGGACGAAACGGCCATCCAGTGCTTCCGGGTTTTCCATGATGGTCTAGCTTCAACTAACTCATGATTTCAACCATAAAAGACTATATGTTTAAATGTAGACCTATTTCATCGCAAGTCAGATACTTCACAAATTAACATTAATATTAAATCATCAATGAACCTTGTAACTGAATGACAATAACAATTTGCTCAAACTAGTATTTTTAAGTGATTTATGAATGGAAGGTGTAACTATCCTCACGCATCCCGATTCTTTAAGAGGATTAGTCTGCAACATCACAGAGAAGTTCGTGAAGTTTCGTGATGCCATTCAATGATGATCCCATTTTATCAACTTAATCATCTTTTTTCAGCAAAAACTAGCTCTCCTCCTTTGCCTAGCTTACTTTTGATTAGAGTATACACATTTTTGCGCTCTTGTAAGGTTTCTCAAGATTATTTGACCAGTAGATACTTTGTGACTTATTCGCCATTCTCGTGTTATTAACAGCTATTAACCAACATGGTTTTAAACCTTGATTAACTTTGGAATCAGATCTGTTGTTTGTAAAAATGAATCCTCGAAGGGTACGTCTGTTTTTTCAAATGTCTCGAGTCTTGGATTTCTCTTTCGCTACCTTATATATGCATACAATTCTCCGTATCATAAATAAACATATTAACTAGAAGTATTTTGTAGTTTAAACTACTAATTGACCTCAACTAGATCCCTACTGTAAAAACTTGTTAGAGCTAGATGGTTGTTTTGTCTTAGTGCGAGACTTCACTGCTCTCAAGTTTTCAATGTTGACCTGACTTCGATTAGTTCGTACTTGAACTGTAAAAATTCTACATTTTTCACAAATCCTTTCATACTAATAGAAAAGATAAATAAAATCATTTCTTTTACCTGAATATTCATACCAGAACAAGCTTCACGTAATGCTGTAAGAAAATTATTCACATCGTATACAGATACTGGATTCGATAAATCTTCATAACCGGCACCTGGTACATTCACTTGTTTTGATGGTAATTGATCACGTTTAGAATAAAGTGGATGATGAGTTAATGTAGCATAAGGTAAACTACGACATAATGGATTCCATTTCTGTGTAATTTTTACATCATTTTCATCCCCCCATTTTAATTGAACACCAGGTGAACTACGTATACTAAATACATAAACAAACAACGTTGAGTACAAATTAGTTAAAAATGGGTATATTGAAAATCAGTTGATAGAATACACAATGAAAGAATGTTAAAAACTGGCTTACATGGTGTTACATATATGTAAATCATTTGTTTGACTATAACCCGACCGTCGTTGCTACCTTGACGTGGTGGTCGGGCTCGTTTATCGTGATGAAGCGACCGATATATACTGGCTGGAACAACCGTTCCTCAAGGTCCTACCATATCAGGCAAGCCGGTTGAAGAATGGTAAGATTAAAAGTAGCAAACTCAAGGTCCGAAGGCGAAGTCGTACTGCTGACTGTACAGAGCTATGACGGCAGTGAGGTGTTTCCTTCAGACAACCAGAATAACAGCGATGCTGACTTCTCACAGGGAGTAGTAGGGTCAGAAAAGGTCGACCCTAAAAATGCACACCTCACCGTACCCCACGGATATCCGTCTCCAGCGGTAAGGTCCCAATAAGTACGGAACTAACACAAAAATTACCCATAAAATGGTCGTGTGTGGCCGACCTCAAGCAGTTGTCCCTTGGGCACTGCGGTCACGGCCTCAGGTCACTAAGACCACCTCTAATCCAATTTCATTTTCAGGTACCTCTAGAAGAACCCTTCCACGGTGTGGCGACCGGGAAGTGACAACTGCTCTCACACCTCTAACAGCACTCAAGATCAGTTGTTTGATTATAATACATTATGAAATGTTAGGAAATACTAAATTTATACTATTCCATCACACAAATGATAATCACTTGGATGATAAGTCAGATATTTATCGTAGTATAGAAAACAATTTACTATATACATATATCATAAATTTCCATTTAAAATTAGTTATTTGTGATGACCTACTTGAATATCTCGGCTACCTGTTTTTGTTATTGCAATTGAGTTTGTTCACATTTAATTCGGTTAAGTCATTTTGTTAACTTATTAACGAACTGGAGTCATCCGTACAACAACAACTTATTTATATCATTGTATATTTATTATTGTTGCGAATGTATGAACATGTATGCTTGAGCATTGCTTACAGCCTACGCATATATTAACTCTGCTGGCCTAACTATAAGTTGCTTAATTGATTCGACGATTCATTCATTTCACTATGTATATATATGTCCATATTATTCTTATTCATTGCTCTCGCTCGCTTAATTGTACTAGCTTACTCGCATTCATATTCGCTGACTCACTCGCTGATCTGCTTGCCTTTCGGCACAACACTTTCATTCTAACTTAAAGCACCTGTAATTTTGGATATCTGTTTGTGGTCCCATAATACACGTATTCAACTGTTCGTATTTGCCTTCTGATTAATATACCGTTGGGGCGTTATCTGGTGACGGTTATCAAGACGAACTGTATACGAATTTTAAGGATTAAATGGAATACCGACCACCACACTGTCATTTAGATATTTTAACAAAATATGTTTCCTTGTTTGTTTTAACAAGTCATTATGTCAATTAATCGCCTTTCGTATCCAGTTGCATTTGTGAGAAGTTCACAACCTTTCACCATACAATTTACAAAAATGTATAATTAGAGACATCGTGGTTGTTGACATTATACATCCAAAAGAATATACATCATTCAGATATCGATTCCTGAACTGTTAACATCTAACTGGCGACTAGTCAATATTTTATCGTCAGGATCAATCAAGAAGTACGAAACGGTAACTCTCTGGAATACTTTGTGCTGAGAATTCTATATTGTACCAGAAATACAATATTGAATAAAGCTAATATAAATGATAATAATGGATTCATTTCAGTGTGTAACACTCGTCATAGTTGTGTACTAAAAATGGTTAACTACTATTTACATTCAGTAATGATATTATAACAACTGTTATCCATAGTTAGCTTATAACTTATGAAAAATGCCTGAAAATCCTTAACATACTTTCGACTAAGATTTTCTTTCAAAGAAATCACTGTAAATGAAATCGTAACTCCCATCCATATCATAATTAATACTTAAAGGAAATATGTTTGTTGTTGTGACTTTAAATCCGGTTAGTCATTATTTGATTTATTCGCCGATCGAAATACGACTTAGTCAATCTTGGTACTCTGCTAAACTAATGATGTTCGACCGATGTGATCAGCCTAGCGTCTTTATTGGTCCTTTTCTCAATCAGCCTGTCCAACTGAGTTCAGAACACCAATACTAGCTTCCAATATGCGAATCACTTATTTCAGACGTACTTGATTTATATACCAACCAAACAGATCGCATCACACCTTATAATAGGAAATAACAATTATACAAGATCAAGCCAAAACGTGTCTGTGAACGGAGGAGATAGTAATCAATAAACTGAACAGTAAACCATATAATAATAACATATAGATCAAAATGAGGCTTATAATAAGAGGAATATAGATATACATATTCTAGTTACTGAACAGTTATACAATAGGAATATATGTATATAATATAAATCCATTAATAAGTCTCAGAAGTTACTAATAATTTAATCTCCGCTAGGATATAATATGTATTTCTTTTACTGATTGTTCGAATTACTCATACTTTGTTAACTGAAATGTCTCCTATCACAAATCAAGATTCAATGTTGAATATTTACCAAGTTTTCATATTATCGACTTTTCTGCTTTACATAAAATAGTCTGAACTATTTGTCATCCTCAATCCAAAAAGATGTTCATTCAGTAAACATTTGCAGTCACAGTTTCAAGTTAGTGTGGCAATAAACATATTTTAAGCCGTAACCAGTTGAGTTCAATCCACGTGGGGTGGAGACAGTTATCCCCTTCAGACAATGGACGAAGGGTTGCCCAATACCATGGGTCAAACAGTAATATCGTTGGATACCGGCCCAGTGGTCTAGAGGTTAGGCGTTCGCACTTGAGACCGAAGGTCTTGCTTCAATTCTCGTGTGCAGGACCGTGGATGAACAATGATTAGGAGTCCCTCATTAGGATGAAACGGCGATCCAGTACTTCCAGGTATTCAATGATAGTCTGGCATGGATTGGCTCGTGAATTCAACTGTTTAAATATGTTAAGTTATTTATATACACACAATTACAGTGTTCAGTTAACCAAAAAATAATTTATCCTTATTTATGTCTAGATATTCAATATCCTTTAGACGGATACCATCATCAACAGCCTGCTGTGGGAGAGGATAAACCAGCTTCAAGCTACAGAGGAAATTAGGAAAATACATTGGAAGTGGATAGAGCATACATTACGGAAATCACCAAACTGCATCATGAAACAAGCGCTAACTTGAAATCCTGAAGGGAAACGGAAAAGAGCAAGATCAAAGAACATACTTAGCCGAGAATTGGAAGCAGACATTAAAAGGGTGAATATTAACTGGAAAGGATTGTCCGGGACAGAGTTGAATGGAAAATGTTGGTGAGTGGCCTATGCTCCTCCACGAAAGTTGACAGGTGTAAGTAAGTACAGTATCGTTTTATCAACAGTTTATTTTACTATTATTATCCACAGAAAACAAGAAAAATCAATGTGTCATTTAATTAACAATGACACCAAGTTCAATTTACCATGACAAGTTATTATAATAAACAATTAGGGATTTCAGATACTTGGAGAATAAAACTGATTTAACCTTTATCGATTGTTCAATAAAGTAATTTAATAATATGATTGTATTTTCTATTACAAATTGATATAAACGGAAGAAGCATTAGAGGCGAGACTCTAATTGATGGACGACCTCCGAACAAATCTTAAGCGACCTTAAGAAATATTAGCCAATCTGCAATCAGTCAGTATAGAGTAAAAAATATATTATACAAAACCAAAGAATCAAAATGGATACACTTCTTATACGCGGTTCAAAAACCCGTCAACGTTAGAAAGAGGTTCAGAGGTTCTGAAATCGTAAGGCATGCAGTAGAAGAAATTATCCATACGGCTACAGAATAGTCGGCCTCTGGAGCCATGATAAAGTCTTAAAAACTCTTTCAACCTCGACCACATAACTTCAATATTGTTTGTGTGCACTCTAATTGTTGAGTGCACAAAATGCTACTTGTGGATAACGACACGATGAGCATAACCAAGCCTGTGTAGGAGTCTGTACCCTCTCCAAACATCCGTATATATTGTAGTACCTGGCTGCAGCCTGTGTTACTGGTGATTTTATTATCCATTTCGCAATAATTGTCGTAATTTGTCTTAGTTAGGAATTATATATGGGTTTTTCATCACGAACTGACATCAGCCATAATGTCAGAAATTTATTTAGCCAAATGGACGAAAGGCTTTCGCTACAAAATCCGAAATCTATTATCTTATACCTGATTGATTCGTCCACCAAATTATAGTCTCGCCGTTTTATTTGTTATAGCCGCTCAATTATCACGTTTTGTACAAAATTCCCTGTGAACCGACCGTACGTTAGCATTAAGCACTGAAGTTGGCGCCGTAACCTTGAAATCTCCAAAACACTTCTGATTGGCTGGTCCATAAATTAGAGTCTCGCCGCATTAGAAATTAAGAAACACCGGTCAACTATTTTGTCTACGTTTGGTACTTTTAATCGTCTAGGGATTCTGTATAGAATGATGCTCACTATATAGTGAACTGGATCAAATTCAAAATATGAACTAATAAATCCTAGTAAATTAGTTTAAATGTTATAATTTTATTATGATTCATCAATATCCAAAGTTCATATCCTATCACAGTCATGAATGAAGACTACTAATGACCTATTAATTTAAAGAATCATCCATTCAGTGCTTATTAGTTTATTATAGTTTTACAGATTGATGAAAAACATCTCATTGAAATAATTTTCACAATTTACTCAATTCAATCTAGTTTCATCGAAGCAGTATCCACGGACCTTCCAATCAATGTTGGCTCACCAACAATTGAAGAAATCAGCATGGCTATCGGACAAATAAAAAGTGGCAAAGCAACAGGACCAGACAACATTCCAGCAGAGGCACTGAAAGCAGACGTAGCGATAACTGCAAGGATACTCCACATTCTCTTTAATAAGATTTGGGATGAGGAACAAGTACCAACAGACTGGAAAGAAGGACTTCTGGTCAAACTTCCAAAGAAAGGTGATCTCAGCAAGTGTGATAACTACAGGGGCATCACTCTTCTTTCAATACCGGGGTATTGTTAAACAGAATGAAGGACTCCGTAGACGCCCAACTTCGAGACCAACAGGCAGGATTCCGTGAGGATAGAGTAATAGGCGTAAGTAAGTAAGTAAGTAAGTAAATCATTTGATTTGAACGATAAATTAAAAATATTAAAAAATTTAAAAAAAATCGAAAATCACTTACGGCATTAATGATTTTGCTGGAAATACAAGTGGTCCAGTTATAACACTAATCAATTGTCCAAGACCTACACGACGACTATCACGTACACGACATTGAAGAAAATCATATCTTAATATATAGAAATTTCTTTCAGTTAATACAATTAAACGTTCATGTTCATTATTCCAATGATCAATGCTACAAAATTATATTTGAAATATGATATGAAACATTTATAGTAAATCTGTTTTTAAAAAAAATTGTTTCGGTTAAGTACCATATTCTCATGATACCCATAGTTACATTAAGGGAATAATTGTTTATCCAGTGATTTACATATTAAATTCAAGGTTACGACAAATTGTTTTTGTATACATAAGGGGTGGGTTAAATTTATTAATAGCCAAGGCCTCAAGGATTCGTCCTTGACAATTTCTATACAACGTTCTAAAAGCTGTATCAATGTCAATTTTATGCCCCGTTTCAATTATATGTTTCGCCATCGATGAATCTGGTTTTCTACCTCCCACATTGATTGGCTTATTTGACACACATTGATTTTGAAGCCATCTGGGTACATGTTAATTGACCCTTGATTGCAATGTTCGATTACTCCTCCCCGTGTATGTGTGTCCACACAAACATGTAAATTGGTAAATACAATGGGATGTGACGTAATCATTAGTGCATTGGGTTTATTAGGAATCATGGGCTTAGACTTTGCAATCACAACCAAATGAGCAGCATAAGGGGGTATTCTCGATGGCCGCTTCCAATCTGTCTTAAAACTATACCGTTGAATTCGTCTCTATATGGTAAATTGATATAAACTTTTTTCTTTGGAACTAAATAAACAAGAGGTTTGGGCATTAACTGACTTTTGCACCTATTAATAAACTTTAGTGGATAACCATTAGCTATTAATGTGTCAGTCAGTAACTTTTCATCTTTTTCCACCGTGTCACAAGTACAAATTCTTTGAGTCCTCTTAAAAAGACACTTCACTAGGCCTCGCTTGTAATTCAATGGACAAAAACTATGGAAATTTAAGTGTTGTGCCGTCCAGGTTAATTTCCTATACACTGACCTTTTAGAACGTTGTATAGAAATTGTCAAGGACGAATTTTTAAGTTTATTGAAGCCTTGGCTATTCGTAAATTTATGTATTAATTTAGTGGCCCTTTGTATCTGACTCCAGTGAGATCGTATGAAATTCTAACTAATAATCCTATGAGGATATATGAACAATCAATAAATACGATGATGTAATAGAAAGATAATGATAGAAGATTATGCAATGTATGCAAATGAAAAGCCTTGTAATAATTTGTTGGAGTTTTGTTCTCTGAGCTGGATGGTTTGGTCGTGGAGCTCTCATCGTTCTTCTGAATGACATCATCAGCACAAACTTCAGGTAAAAGTGAAGTGTTCGAATTTCTCCACATGTGGTTCACAGCTTGTATTGTACACTTCGATGTTGATTGATTCTTGTTAACCTTGAACCTGTCATTGTTTACTTCTTTGTTTTGGTTTTATCTCCCAATGGTTTGATTTTCGTCCCTATGCTTGTACGTAATTTTCCTGATTGGTTGATAAATTGGATCGATTTCAATGTGCTTGTTGATTACTGAGTGCCAAGCTTCTAAAAATTCTCTAATATTTTTGGAATTGCCTCTACTCAAAATTTCCATATTTTTCTTCTCGAATGTGTGTCGCAGTTGTCCAAGTGCTTTAATATAAATGAGGACATGTCATGGTGTTTAACTGTTAACTGTTATTCATCCAAGCGAAGATGAAGAGGGCGTTCGCTTTGTCCGATATAGTGTAATATCAATGAGTTAACAACAGACTATCATATGAATGTGGTAAGATAATCAGATGTTTTTGTCACAATAATAAAAGATAGTAGAAAGGTTAAATAAAAGATGTTGTTAGAAGAACATTATGAACAAAATCATGAGGATATGAGAAATAATTAAGAAGAGAGGCGGATATATTCAAATCTGTAGATTAGTTGAAGTTATATATATCTTCAATTTTTGTATCTAATTATCAACTTAGATTACGTTAGTGAATGCAACGGAATTAAATAAGTAAATACATTTGAACAGGCAATCGAAGGAATGAAGCGACGAAAACAAAACGAAACGAAATAGAGCGCAGTGAAGAAGGAATGTGAGCCAACTCCATTTAACTAAAGGTTAATTAATCATACAAAAATAAGCTACAAACATGTGATGAGTAAGATCAGATGTACTTAAACATGCTTATATAAAAACAGTCAAGGTTGATAAGTGAATAATTGGCAAGGCCAAAACATAATTTAAGAAGAATAGATAAATTGGCCTGTCCAGAAGCTAGAATAAGTTATATGGGCTTAACGTAGTAGTAACCGATACTAAAATAGGTAACCATTGGCCTATTAAATGTACTATTGATAATATAAGACTCGTTGATAAGATACAAACTGTAAAGTTAAATTTCTATACAAAATGTTTCTATTTAACAAATAAAGCGAGAAATGAAATTAATTATCAATGACTTGGTTACTTCATTAGTCAAATTAATCAAAAGTATGATAAACTGTCCCTCCATTTTATCTCTGTACATTGCCGTTAGTTATCATCCTATATGAATTATTCTTTGTGAGTTAATGTTGATTAGTATAACCTGTGAAAAGTGCTGTATTATGATAAATATTTGTCTAAGCTATCACAGAAACAAGTCTTATCATTGGTACTAGGCTCAGTTCTAGTCTTAGCCATGTTAGTAAAAGCAGACTCCTTGGTTGAAATCCGAGTGACTATCGTAACCAATGGTTGGTGACTCTGGGTGACATGGATCAGGATCGATCACAATGGCATAGGTGTATACACTCTCTACCTTCCCTTAAACTATGAGATTAAAATTATTTCATATCTTTCTTTATACTAACTAATTCTTTCTTTTTGTACTATATCCTTACATAAAATCTTTCCTTTATAAATTACAACATTGAGTTATCTGCTTCTTTGAATCCGGTGTTCCTCATGCTGTGCTAATGAGGTGTGGTATCTTGGACCGATGCATGTATGTGCCTGGTCTTACGTTGTAACTGGCTGACTAGGCTCAGTTAGCTAGATCAAACTAGATTTTAGAAAGAATTTCATTTACTCAGTTTACTCAAGTCTTGATAAGATGATGTTACTAGCCAAAGAAATTCAAAACCCAACGTCATTCATTCATGTTGCTAAGATTTCGTAATGTTTTTATGCAAGAAACAGGAATGTACACATATAGATGATTGATAGGGCTTCCGTTAAAATTTGTGATGTAGTTACTCAAAGTTGATTATTAATTAATCTGTCAACTCAACTTCTAATAAACACATCAAAAGAGAGTCATTAAAATAAATGACTTACAGAGTAAGAATCCACAATGCAATAAACGCTCCATCCTCTGGAATAAGAACAGATTCACCAATGTAATGAATCAATTGTTGCATGTCCTCCTAATTTATCAATAAAAAAATATCAATCAGAATAAAAATGTAGAAAAGCTGAACAACAATTATCAAAATGCGAAACAAATTTGTAATAATGTCAAGTGAACAAACTGTTAGACGGTAATCACACCACAATTAGTGGTTTTAGAAGTATGGATAGGGTAGATCATCGAATACCAGCTCATTAATAGTAGAAAAGTGACACGAACATATTTACGCTTGAAACGTCTGGGTTTAATAACTGTTAGTTTTAATATAAATTCCATTCTCAGACTAAAAATGGATCATATGCATTCTGGTTTTTGATGACTGTCTACTTAAAGTTGGTTTATGGTTTCTGTAACCTTAGAAATGAGGAGTCTTCATAAACCTCACACCTAAGGGAATCTTATGGTCAGGAAAATCAACAATTCTCTTTACCGTTTTTAGGGAACAGAAACTCCTTTGTCACATATAGAACATCAGACCTGAGTTACTGAATGATGAAAATCATTCCTATTAATATAAATAGGACACCAATTTCCACGAATCTGTTACCATTAAACTCTTCATCTGGCATATAATATAATTTTCATTGACAGTATTTTAGGTGAGTAGCTTGTAAATTTAAAGAATCAAAACGTCCATATGTGCTTGACATATGTCGGAGTGATATAAGGCTAACCTCTACTAGTTAAATGATCAATCCGTAGGACTTAACGTTTCAGCCAAAGTTCGGTTTGAAGTTTACTTTCGGTAATTAGATTTTGACCACGATAACTTATAGGATACCAATTTCGGGTCTACAACTAATGCTACACGCACTTATATACTACTGTATGGTTTAAAAGTAGTTAAATAATACACGCTAAATTAGTTCAAATTACATTCACCTTTATGTAAAACAGAAGTTCAGATCTAATTTGCAACAGTTTGAATTATCCCGTTGTTGGTATTCTTGACTGAACTGTGATCAATGTTAGTTGGTATACATGCGGATCGCTTAATTAGACACTTGAAACGAAAGGCATGGTGTTCGAGTTCTTGTAATAATACAGAGACTTGGGTATAGGTATGTCCATAAGGAGAGCCCCAAATAGGACGAAACCCGTGTTTTCAACCTAAATGTTAGCCACAATTCATGTATTCTAGAAATCCATTTTATCTTTTGTTTACAATTATAAACACTATGGTACTTGGAAAACCCAGTTTAATCACATGAATATCCAGTTTACGTGACATGAATGGGACGAAACCCTCATCTTAGATTGTGCTTTTAATCGCAACCCATCTATTTTGGAAATCTTTATCATGATCACTTAATATTATCAAATGTTTGATTTATAAGATCAATTCCTAAATATCTAATTATGAATGGAGGTTTTCGGAGATCGTAGTGTAAGGAATAGTGAAAGGAATAAACCATATTTATTATCCTTCAATATTCTTAATTGTCCTCTTTCGTTGAACAAATACATGTTTTCAGTTAATATCTTTAGTTAACAGGATGGTTAAGCATAATGTACATATATAATGGAACATTATTGAAACATTTAGTATCTACCGATATCAACTTAAAGGTTTTATATATTTTCTTGATGAAAGTGTTATCTACTTGATAAGGTAACCAAATTCACTGTACATTCAATAAGTACTTAGATAAACATCATTCATTGGTCAGTCAGTCAGTGGGTTACAACGTAGGATCAGGTGCATATATGCGTCGGTCCAAGTTGCCATACCTCATAAGTACAACAAGATGAACACCAAATTCCTAGAAGTAGTTACTTCAGTGGTGGTAATATATAAAAGAAAGATTGCGTGTACATATATAGTACAGAAAGAGAATTATTTCGTAGAAAGAAAGATCTAAAGCAATTTTGATCTTATGGTTTAAGGGTAGACAAAGGGTATATACACCGACGCCATTGTTATCGATTCTTAGCCATATCATCCACAGTCTCCAACCACTGGTTACGATAGTCACTCGGATCTCAAACAAGTAGTCTGCATCTACATTAACATTAACATTCAAATGAATATTAATGTTATTTCATATCCAATGTAATAAATATTGATTTATAACTTTGTTGTTAACTCCGCCTGGAGCTTCTCTTGGGCTACTGCCGGTCCGAAGCCCGGATAATGGAGGACAGTTGGGCATGGGGTTAGCAAAGCCATCCCGTAGAAAACTAACTCGCTAAAAAAACGCTAACCAGGAAAAATGATTCAAACGATAACCAGTTGTTAGGACAGTTGTTAAAATTATTGGTTCATGAGAACGATTAGAAAAAGTCTATTCACTGACCAAGTTATGTCAAGAAAAAAAAAGATTAAGGAACCTACAACCTAACCAATAGGGCATAATAGTAATACGTTTTTTCATACACATATTTCCTTCAATCACCTTAAAGAGAGTAAGGACGAAGATTGGTGTATAACAATAAATGGATTCATTCTATTTCGTTAGGTTCTCATCAGTTGTTTATAACCTAAAATATATGAAAATCAACGTTATGATTGATATTGACATACTCATTTATACATAAAAGGGTGATCAAAGATGTACCATGATGTAGTAAAGATTCCGATAGAGTTAATGGGGTCATAAAAATTGTTTGTTTTGGATAAATAAAGTTTAGGGAGGAAAGTTCCAGAACATTGACCTAGTGATTAGAACTCATGGAGGTAACAAACATTAGATGATTATGTCATGAAGTAACTGAAAATAGATTAATGATAATAAAGAAGGATATAAATTGAAATCAGTTAGTTATGAATTAAAGAAAAATGATAATGATGCAATTAAACTTCAGAAAGAGTTGAAATAATGAATTACGTAAGGGGGTTTAATGTTACCAGTTTAAAGAAAGATTTATTACTGTCGCTTTTTGTATACATACATTTGATTTTAGACGTTTGATTGCTATCGCTTCGGCAAATTTCAAAAGATTGGAGTTTGATTGTTTGTTAATCACCGTGAAGGTCTTCAGTGTATCGATTTCATGTCCTGTGTCAAGGAGATGTCTTGCGATGACACTGCTGACCTTATTAACTCTGTTGAAGTATTCGCTACATCATGATACATCCTTGATCACCCCCTTATGTATAAGTATGTCAATATTTATAATAAAGTTGATTTTCAAATATTTTTGATTGTAAGCAGCTGATGAGAATCTAACAAAATAAAATAAAACCATTTATTATTCTTCACCAATCTTCTTCTTTGCTCGCTTTAAAGTAATAAATTAATTGATAATACTCATAGTCATTATACTACTTATTATTAAAATTTATATTTCAATAGTTGAAAACATGAGTCAATTCAAGCTAGACCACCATGGAAAACCTAGAAACACTGAACGGCCGTATCGTCCTAGTATGGGACTCCTCAACATTGCGCATCCACGATTCCGCTCCTCACGAGATTCAAGTCCAGGACCTATCAGTCTCGCACACGAGTGCTTAACCATTACATCATTAAGCCGGTGTTTTCAAGTCTTCCATGATGATCTAGCTTCAATTGGCTCATGATTTCAACTAATGAAATTTCTAAAATTTCCACAAAACCTCTTTTGATAAACTAACCTGTGTCATATTCATTGGAGCTTTTCCTATATCTTCTTTATTATTATTTATTCCAAATTTACTCATTTGTGGTATTTGTGGCATTGAAACTTGTGGTGTTGGAATTTTCTTTAATACTTCAGTGAAATTCATTTTTCTTTGAATTGGTTAAAGTAGAAATTATTTTCAAAGAAAACAAAAAGATCCTTTATTCCCTTCTTTTTATGAATTTACTTCTATGACACAAAACTTTCTGTATTGATTATGTGTGAAATATATTTTGAGAGAATCAAAAAAAAGAAAAGAGAAATAAACAAACAAATCGATCACTTTCAACTTGAACCCTTCAATATTCAATAAATAATGGGTATATACGGAGAAAATTTCGATGAAGCTTTTTTTTCTCCCTTGAAATGATTTTTGTATCTTCTTTTCAAACTCATTTGACCTTTAAAAAAATTATTGATTAATTATTATACTCTATTTATGATTGGTTAATTATTTTTTTATGCTTCATTATTAGAACCAATCATAGATAAGCTTAAATAAGTTTTAGTTTCCTAAATAATTTATTACCCCCTTGTATTATTGATTTAAAAAGAAGTACAAATATTGATTGATGAAATAATAATGAAAATTAATAAAAAGGAAATGAATAAAGAGGATCTAATATATTTTTAGGTTTTACAATTATAAGTTCTGAGATGAGTAAGAACAAACATTCTAGCAGAATAGCATGGATTCATTTTATTTCGTCTGGTTCTCGTCAACTGCTTACAACCTGGGATATTTAGAAATTAGCATTACATAATGGATTTCAAATTACTTTCATGAAAGAGTTTGATTGGAAGTTATATTAAAGACATATTCGTATAGTATAGCAAGGCTGTAATTGAATAGACTGAATATTGTAAATATATACCTTATGTAATGAAAGAACATTGTGACAACAGTTCAAACGGCTAGAAACAAGTAAACATTGATAGGAATAAAATGAGTAGAGTTCAGTTGATAAAATAATGGTGTAATAAATGCAATAAAGAGTTTAAAGAAAAAAAAGAAAAAATTATTAAGATATAACAAAGGGATATTAATCACCAAGGCAAATAAAGATTAATAACCATCTCCTTTTGAACACATAAATCAGGCTTTTGGCGCCTGATAGCAACTGCTTCAGCAAACTTCAGAAGAATAGAGTTTGGCTGCTTACTAATCACCTTGAATGATTGTAGGGTATCGACCTGATGTTCTGTATCATGGAGATGTTTGATGATTGCACTGTTTGGAGTCTTTCTTTCTCTTATTCTGAGGCTTTTTGGAACACGTTCAAAAAGTCTGAGATATGCCCTTATTTCTGTTCGGCCAATGTAGCTGCTTTGGAAGGTACACGTAAATTTATAAACACAATTGGCGGTAACATGAAAAGGATGCTTATCAACCTTTGATTGAGTTATTGAACATGTTGTTTTATACAGAATTAGAAGTTCATAATTATTATGATATTGTCAGAAAAGGTTTTATGAAGATTATGAGTTAATTGAAGTTTTCAAGTTTTCTATAATGATCTAGCTTCAAAACGACTCATGATATTTTATAAAGGCTAAAGTAGGGCATATATTAATGAATTTGATAATGTTATATTGTTAACAGTGTTGAACGTTTGTATTTCAAAATTGTGTTATTTGTAAATTAGAAAGATCAGAATGATTTGGAGTAAAGTGTCAAGTGACAATCAGTATTATAGTAATATAACAAAATGGGAAAAAATGGGATCACCCTTAGGCTAGATTATTACTGTCGATACATAGATAAGACACTAAATGCATGTGATGAAAATATTGACAAATAAGAGATGTTGAACTGTTTTAATAACATCCATCCAACTATTTAATGCATTAGTGAAGACGAGAAAGACAATAGTATAGCTGTCTTAGATGTTGTACTTTCTAGAAGGATAGATGGTTCCAGAAAAAGAAATATATTTAGAAAAAATACATGGACAGATCAGTATACTTATTTCCATAGCTTTACACCTGTTTAATACAAAATAGATTGGGTTAAATGTCACAGTCGCAGAATCAAGCTATATTGTACTGAGGATAGTGTAGATAGCGAAATAGATATACTAAAGAACACATTACGAAATAACGGATGTCCAGATAATTTTGTCAGAAAATTCCTCGTAGAAGATAGTAAAAAAGAAGAAATTGTGACTTGGCCAGTAAAAAAAACCCATATCTGAAATTAGACTTTAAAAGGGAAATAGCGGGTTACATTTTAACGCATCGACCCAAAATATCCGTTGACAGGACTTTTCAAACCTCCAAGTTACACATAATTTTCTCAATTGAACCAGTACATACACGACAAATCAAGGAAAGGTTACCAATATTGGGTTCCTCTATGTGTGTATACCAATTCAGCTGTTTCTGTAGAGCTAGTTACATAGGCCGTACTCAAAGGGCTTTGTCCTTGAGTATCCATGAACATGTACCAGAATAGTTGGGAAAAGGAGTTATTAAATCGATCAACAGTACTATTCTTTCTCACTTGGTAGATAATGAACATCATATCAAAATAGAGGAAGCTTCCTCTACTTTATATCCAGTTCCAAAAATATACCTCAAGGAATTAGATTACGGTTACTCTATATGGCCGAATCCATCTCGATCAACTCTAGAAAAACAAACTTATGTATCCAGAGAAGGTATATCCAGGCCAACGACTGGAGCATCGGATAGCTAAACTGCCTATTATAAACCTCTTACCCCCTTCCCAATTATTTTTGCTTACATCTTAACCTTCACATTCGTCTGTCCCAATTCACATGAATTATTTTTTATCGTAACTACCTTTAAAACACCCATCTTATTGTATATTATGTTCACACACCAATATTATTATTATTATTGCTATTGTCATTATTACCTCAATTATCAAGATTAAACTCTTCTACTGCGTATTTTATTCATATGGTTTTTTTCCATTTTACATTTTTTTAATATTATTATTATACTGATTGTGACTTGACGCCTTATTATCAGAATAGAGTTTTGTGGATATTGTAGTAATATTTAATAGTTGAATTTACGAGTGGATAATAACAATGATCGTGTGCTCACTAGTAAGTGGCTCCAAGAGGTATTTCTAGTGAGAAGCCATGGTCAGTAAAGTTCAACCGTGTCTGTTTTAGAGGTAATTACTGACTGAAGACAATGTTGGACAGTCGAGCAATATCGTTTATTGATTGAAGTTAAACATTAACACTAGCCGGCTTAGTGGTCTAGAGGTTAAGCATTCGGGTGCGGGATCATGGATGCTCACTGTTGTGGGGTCCCACATCAGGATGGAACGGCTGTCCAGTGCTTCCAGGTTTTCCATGGTGGTCTAGCTTTACTGGACTCGTGAATTCAAATTGACGATTTACTCCAAAACATTTTGAAATTTATTAAATGACCATCCTAATTTACAAATAACACACTTTTGAAATACTTATGTCATAATGGATCTTATCATTCGCCATTTTTAACATATAACATTTTCAAATTCATTAATACATGCCCTACTTTGGCCCCTGTAAAATATCACAATAATCATGAACTTACGATTGTATAGCCTGATGATGAAGTTATTGCAGAAACAATTTTTCGCTCAAATGTTCCGTATTCCATACGGAATACTTTTAAATTTAATCAAGATAAAGTTTACTTATAGAAGCAACATACAGAGAAAGTATGGAAAATTATTTTTGTTTTATTCATCAATTTATTTAAGTGATCCACGAAATTGCGCAACCATCTTCAGTTGTCTGAGGTAGATATATGTCTCTACCTAACACAGATTGGCTGAAGTTAGACGTTAACACCTTTGGATGCCAGCTCAGTTGTCTAGATGTTAAGTGATCGTGCGTAAGACCGAAACACCTGAGTTTAAAACCTCACGTGAGGGGTCGTTGGTGCGCACTGACGAGGAGTCCCACACTAGGGTAAAACGGCCGTACACTGCTTTCAATTTCTCAGTCGTGATCTAACATCGATCGATTCAAGATCTCATTCGAAAACTTAACAATCTCCACAACCCCATATTCATAATAATAATTGAAGAATAAAGAAGGCGATGCAGCGAAGAAACTTTTCAATAATTTCGTTTACTTAAGCTGTACAACGGTGTTTATAGTTAGTTTCATTTGCAAACATAATTGTCTCTAATAAAATAGAATATTAAAAAAACTCAGAGTGGTATCTTGTTATGAATTGTTAACGAAAATCAGACATTGAGGGGAAGTTATGTAATAATGAACTAGTGAAAAGCAGTAAGATGATGATAATTGTTTCAAAGCTAATGTGATAATAAAATAAAAGTAAATCTTCTCAGTGATGTTATCTATATACTCTATAGCTTAGAATATTCTCCAGACAGTTAAATAGCATATCTTTTAGTTCCCTTGAATTTCATTCAGTATTCACATATTATACGAGTGAAATTGGCTAATAGTTTTAGACTATGGTGTACTAAGCTTATTTGTGAAATAGCTAACAATTAACTAATAACCACTCAAATAACATCTATTATGGGTTGTTTCCCTTATCTTCTTTATTTACGTTGCTTAGGTCATGACCTGATCAAAGAATGAATCATAAAAGAGATCAAGTGATTGCTTAATATAATTCTATTTATTCTTAATTCATTAGCTCAATATCAACTAATTTATTCTAAATAATAATAATAATAATAATAATAATAATAATAATAATGTCACTTCCTTACACCTGTTACCCCCAATGAAGCATAGGCCGCCAATCAGCATTCTCCAAATCACTCTGTCCTAAGCCTTCCTTTCTAGTTTCATCCAATTCTTGTTCATTTTCCTCATGTCTGTCTCCATTTCTCGACAAAATGTGTTCTTTGGTCTCCCTCTTCTCATTTGGCTTTGAGGATTCTATGTGAGGGCTTGCCTTGTGACACAGTCGGGTCCTTTCCTCAATCTGTACTCTATCCACTTCCAGAGATTATTTCTGATTTCTCCCTCCTCTGAGATCTGGTTTGTCCTGTCCCACAGTGGGTTGTTGTTGATAGTGTCTAGTCAACGGATACGGAGTATTTTGCGTAGGCAACTGTTAATAGACACCTGTATCTTCTTGATGATGGCTTTCGTAGTTCCTCAGGTTTCCGCCCCATACAGCAGAACTGTCTTCACTCCGCCTGGAGTCCCTCCGAAGGCTACTGCCGGTCCCAAGCCCGGATAGAGGAGGAGGGTTTGGCATGGGGTTAGCGACCCTATCCCGTAGAAAACTAACTCGCTAAAAAAACTCTAACCAGAAAAAATTATTCAATAATGTCACTACTACTATTATTATTAATGATCATAATCATAATAAAGGAAAATTTGTTTTTAAAGAGTTCATGAGTTCATG